TATTTTTTTATCTGGATTTAGCGACCGAGGCGGAGCTGGCGAACTTGAAGCTTGCACGGTCTGGGCAACATGCTGTTCTATAAATGCTTTGATGACGAGTCATCACTTGTAGGATTTTCACTCTTCCACCGCTTTCATCGCTCACCCTCCTCCCCCCTCTCCCCCCCCCCGTTTTTTTTTTTTAAGTTTGTAGTGTAGTCAGTTTATACTCTGTATTTCTCACTTTGTTTTAGCAGGTACTGAGTGATGCTGTATATACCTGTATGTATTTGTTTGAGACCAGCACATGGCATGCGTTTATGGTTCCTGTCTGTTACTATTAAAAGTATACAAATTCCAGAGGACAACAAGGTGTGTTTTTAATTATTTTTCTTTTATAGTCTAAAGACTTTGGACACATTTGGAGCCTCTCTCTCCCACACGGGACGGCTGGCAGGTGTTTGGTGCCTCTTCTTTCTTTCTTTTCCAGTTTAAAATAAGTGTTCACATACTTATGAGATGAATAAAATAACTGCTTCACTACATTTCACTTTCGTTGTATTCAGTAACTTGGAAGAGTGCTGGTTATTGTTTCTTTTTGTTTGTTTTTAAGCTGTAATACAGCTACGGTGTGGTCACTAGGGAAGAAAAAGAGAGAAAAGAATATGTTGGGTATCGCTAACCAGTCCTTTTTACAAATGTCTACATGCACTGTCGATGCCATGTGAGGAGTCAGGGCCACGCGAACCGCCACCGTCAAATATTCATGCATCTGAAAACCTATTATGCATTTCAGTGGCCTTTTTTAAGGATGTTTTATTAAAAGAAGTCTAAAAGAGAATGTCTCCGTAGATGGACTGATGGACATCTGCTCTGCTTTAGACTTTAGGTTTTTGTTTTATTTTTATTTCTTCCCCTGTCATCTTGTAAAATAGGTGTGTGGCTTAATACATGCAAGCTGTGCTGTGACTACCAACCACTGAAGAGTTCATTAAAAATAAACTTGTACATTGTAAAGTTCCCCCGCCTGATTATTTAAAGGTTTTTACAAATACGTCTCAACGGTAAGTTCACTCTTGTATTTTGAGGGATTTATCTCCCGGATTAAATCTTTTTTTTTTTTTTTTTTTGTCCTATTTTTGAAGCTACCGTTGTGTTTGTCAGTACCTCTATTTTATGTTTATATAATATATATATTTTAAAGATTCATAGGATACAAGCAAAAATAAATTGTTAATCTCAAATCTCAGTATATGAACTAAAACCTGCTGACATGACAATACAACGGGTTAAATATAAAATGTTATTTGGGGAGAAGTGAAAGTTTAATTTCATTAAAACCTCAAACATATATTACTAACATTGTTAATGGTAAATTCTATCATGATCCCTGCAAAAAAAATAAACCCTGCTAAATATCACAGAACCAATAATCTGATCACGTGTGCCTGATGACCGCTTGCTCAAAGGCTTTAGGTCAACGTGGCTGCTGCTGCACCATCACACCAGCAGGTGGTTGCAGACTCCCTCAGGTGGAGCTCACGTTGACGCAGTGGAGGGATTTCTCCTCTCTGGTGAAGCTGGACCATAAAACCCTTCAATCACTCGGCTGTCATCTGCAGGCTCCTCGGCAGGAATGTGAAGAACTGAAAAAGCAGGAGAGAAACGCTGCTGTGGAGCATTAGTTTGTCTCAGCAGGCTCAGTGTCTTTGACGCAAAGCCCCAGAGAGCGCGTGCATCTAGGGGGGGGGGAAGGACGCGGAGACGTCAGAGGCCGCGTCCTTAAGACTTAAGTTCAGAGCTGATCTGCACTGCAAAATAAAAACCATATAAAATCCTCAAACTCCACGACCCTTGTGGCCTCAAGGTCAGATCCGGGATCTAAATGAACAACACATTCTGGCCTCAAAGCAAATAAGCGAATCCCCCCCCCCCCCCCCACCAAAAAAAATGTCAAACTATGCCTTTGAAAAAGGAGGAAGGCTTCTTCATTATAACAATGGGGTGAAATTAAAAACGATTAAAGATTGTCATGTTATTGAACTTCAATCCTCTCGCTAGAAAAACATGTCTGGATAAACGGTGTTATGGGGGGGGGGGTGAATGTGTGAACAAGGGAGCGGCCGTTCCACCGCGTCGTGTTAAATGTGAATTTCAGATTACTCATTTCACAGGAAGCCATTCCTCTTTTCTTTTTTTATCTTCACCGCGAAAAAAGGGGCGTTGCACGACAGGTTCATTTGTTACTGAGCTCTCAAAGGGTTTGAATACATCTTGAATAAAGTAGTTAAAGTGGGGATGGGAGGCAGTTGAAAGCATGTGGCATGAGAGGAAAATACCCCCCCCCCCTCTTCATTCTCTTCTTATCCTGGCCAAGAGCTGGAACAAATATGCTAAATATGCAGCAGTGCGACCTGAGTCCACAGGCCAGAGTTTATTTTTAGAAAAAGGCGCCTCTGCTCCTTTTGCTCCACTCAGGTTTTCTCATTATCTGCAGGACCGGGTTGGAAACTCGGCCCCCCTGTGCACCAGCCCCCACGCAGCCTCTCTGATCAGTGATCAACCACTGATCAGTGACATCAACCACAGCCCACTGTTATTCAATTGTAGTTTAATAAGACCTTTGAAACTGTGATGGTCTCCTGTGTCCTCAGAGGAGATCCTTCTGATCAGAAAACGTTCAATGAAACGAGCAGCTTTCTTTTTATCCAACTCTGTGTAATAAAACTGAAATGCTGCAAGAATAGTTATAAAGTCAAACTTTTTGGCAACTGTAGCAAAATTAATGAATGCACACTAGGAAACTAGGAAACACAAACACGCGTGTAACATTACAGTTTTAAATGATGTGTATTAGGCACTGCCTGTAAAGTGTTTTTTGCAACGTGCCATAAATCACCTGAGAGAAAGTTCCAGCCACTCCGCGAATACTTCGGCTCCATTAGAGCGACTTTATCGTTGGGCAGAGCGCCAGCGGCGTTCGGCTGCAGTCGGAGGCGTTCGGGCGTCGTCGGGCTCACTCGGCTGCGCCAGAGCGCCGAGCGCAGCGGCTCGCGGCGCTCGAGACGCCATTCATCCGAGGGGACCGCGGGCACACCTGGTCGGACCGAGGCGTGCACGCACGCGCCCGAAGAGAGAAGCTTCCGCGCAGGTGAGTTTCGGTGCCGGCGACCGACCGACCGACCGACCGACTACCTCGGGTCCACCTCTCCGAACACTTTGTTTCTTAAACTCGAGGAGTTCTCAGCGGAGAGGCGCAACTTTGTCGCGTTTAACTTTAAACCAGCTGCAAACTTCTAGAAGCTGCGAGATACGCGAGGTGGGATTGTAGCTTATCTGTTTTTTTTTTTCTTTAAGAGTCATAAAGAAATAAAATAAATAAAACAAACACAGTGGAACGTTTTTTTCACGACTTTGTTTCCCTCCTACCTGTCAAACAGCACTCGGCTTAATCACTCGAGGAATGCGGTGCCGTTGAGGGAAACTCTCACTTCGTCCTCAACAACTCGTCGCAAAAAGAAAAGGGGCAACATGGCCTCGGGCGGATTTAAGCCAAACGCCACGGCGGACTTTTTGGAGGAGTGGAAGGCGAAACGGGAGAAAATGCGAGCCAAAATGCTGGGGGACATAGCGGCGGCGACCGGTGCGCCCCAGGGTGCCAACAACCCCAACAACCAGCAGCACAGCGGCCCGGACCGAAGCGCCTCCGCGGGGAACTGCCTCCCCCCCATCATCTCCTCCTCCTCCTCCTCCTCCTACGCGGTGGCCCGGTCCTCCTCCGGCACGGCTTTAAAGAGACCCGAGGAGGAAACGCACCACCCCGCCTCCCCCTCACCCACAGCCGCCGCCGCACCGCCGCCGCCGCCGGGCAGCGACCCGAAGAAGGCCCCGCCTCAGACGGAGGAGGCTCCGTGCGACTCCCCGGACTCCGGCGCCATGGCCTGCAACGACAGCGACAAGGGCAGCCCGTCGCCCGGTAAGGCCAAGGAGAAGAACGGCACGGGACCCAGCGCCAGGAAGGGCAAAGGTCAGATCGAGAAGAGGAAGCTGAGAGAAAAGAGGAGGTCGACAGGTGTCGTCAGCATGCCGTCCAATGAGGTGAGGCTGTTCAGATCAAACGCACCTTTTCTGCAGAGATGAGCGGTGTTGCGGGAGCTGTTTTGTTGTGTTGGTTCTTGAGTGTGTGTGTGTGAGTGACCTAAAAATAAGTGTGTTGATGATGAAGAGTTTCTGAGCAGGGCTGCAGTTCAAAAACGGAAGCAATGATTTTCATCATTCAAATGTGGACATTTTTTATTTTAACTTCCGTTGAGTCCAGTGAAAACACATGATCGTTGTTGTTTTGGGGTTTAATGGTTAAAAAATGTCAAATAGTAAACTTACCACAAATTTAAAGAAACAAAACTCGTCAGCAGATCAAATTGGCCCACTTTGCTTTATTGATCAGGCCAACAAAAGATAAGTATAGTCCATATGCTTATTGATTATGGCCGAAACACTGCGAGATAAAGTAGATAAAATGTGAACCGGCTTCTCATTAGATATCAAGTTGCCTTCGTTCAGAGGGACTTGTAAAGGTCAGGGGTCATCTTTGGTGCAAGGTGAAACATTAGTCGTCAAAAGGTTAATCTTGCGTATTGCTGCCTTTTATCAATTTGGATTGTCGGGACTGAACGCGTTATTTACACTTTGGGCGAGTCGGACGTCCACAAATAGCCCAAATCCCAGAGAAGCTTCCCAAAAGTCTCCGAATTCCTCCCGTGCACTTGTCCGGTTCGATTGGACCTCTGTGGCGAGACAAAATTAAGCAGCGCTCAGATGTTGGCGAGGGGGAGCTGAAACCGATGCAGGGAGGGGTTGAGGACACTGTGTGTGTGTGTGTGTGTGTGTGTGTGTGTGTGTGTGTGTGTGTGTGTGTTGGACGGAACTCTGATCTGAAGCCGCCAACGAGCACTCACGGTTCTTTTCTGTGACTGTAAACACCCACTTAAAAAAAAAAAAAGAAAGAAAAACCACTCAAATTGTTGGAACAAATGTTTTTTCAATAAGCAAGGCGGGTGGTGCAGCTCCACAACCGCCCGCTTCCTTTCTCCTGCAACTTGGGAGATGGATCTGTTTTTTTTTTTTTAAGTTGGCGCTCCACATCCTGCTATTAGGCGCTCGGCGGTGCCGAGCCGTTTGACAACTGGTCCCCAGCCAGGCCTCAACGCTTAATGGCCAATGCCAGATAGATGGACGGAGCCCGAAGGCAGCCGATTGTGTAGCAGACTTGTTTGGGTGGAGGTAATCCGATGAAGTGGTGAGCTGATCTGGGCAGAGAGAGAGCGAGAGAGAGAGAGAGACAGCGAGCCGGAGGCCTCCGATCCCGACTGGAGTTCTGTGGTCTGAGTCCCGGAGTCGGCTGCTTTGAGTTAGCGTGCCAGCTAGCGTCGCGGCTACAAGCGGGCCTTTTGCAGTGGAACCTCGTTGTGACGGATGCTTGTGAAGCCTCGTGATCATAAATAAGGGCGGTGTGAGCAGGTGGTCTCTGATCACTTTGTTGTCCAACAGTCCGTAAAACGACGTGATGAACGCAAAGCGAAAGCGGGTCATCGGGTGCCGGACGGCTCGCGAGCAGTTAGACGGGATTGTGGAGGAGATTTTTCACAAATATCTGACGTTTTATACACCCGACGATTAATCAAGCCGACAGCAACAAATCAACTATAAAGTCTAAATCCTACGAGTGTTATTCAGCTCGGCTTTTCTTTGGCTGAGGGACGACTTTATCTGTTGATTAATGTCGTTTCAGCATTTGATTGTAAGAAAGGAACACAGATCTAAGATTTACTATGCAGCTGCTTCACTGTTTGGCAGCACGTCGCCCTTATAAGACTAATGTTTTGCAAACTGCAGCCGCTGACTCCGACTCGCCGCGCGGATGATGTGCACGACTCCCGTTCTCCTCCCGTTGCTTCTAAGAGGAGCGAACTGTGCAAACCAAGCCGCCCCCCCCCCCCCCCTACCCCCCCACAAGCCCTCCATTGTGAGGGGAATGCCAACGGACAGGTGTGAAAAAAGATGCGCCGCATAATGGCCGCTGAACTGGACGGCTGTGCGCCGGAGGAACCCGAACCCCGGCCCCGACAGGCCCCCATAGGCCGACAATCTTCGTCTGTTTTAAGCTAACGTGAGTTTAAATCCACGCACCAGGTGTCTCCTTTCTCCCCATGAGCCCAGGTAGGGAGTGGAGAGTGGGTAGTTGTCCCCGTATCCTTTTGGAGGTTAACCAGAGCAGCCTCAGATCAAGAGATGAATGGGTTCTTATCCACTGTAATTGTGTGTATGTGTGTGTGTGTTAGACGTGACGTCAGCCTGTTTCCCGCGGGACGCACCGCAGTGGGGGGGGGGGCGGGCCCTCAGAGCCCATTGGTCTGCTGCTTCGCCGCAGGGGTTGGCGGGTTGGACGGGCCGCGGCGCTCGGGCAGCGAACGCTGGTGTGGCGGGAGGACACGGGAGGCGTCCTCGTGCGACCCGGCGCCTCGTTTACACGTTTAATGTTGCACAAACATCTCGGCCTCCCGGACAGACGCAGCCAGAACCCACTGACCTTTTATGTGGGGTTTTTTTAGGGCCTTGCTGGGATTCTGAATTTTTGGGGAAAGGTTTTAAAAGTTGTGTAAGATGTGAGTGGAATATTAATAAGTTAATTTCACACACTTATTTTATTATAAGCTAGTTAACGGTGTGTGGACAGCAAACCACCTTAAATAATGAATTAAAGTTGTTTGGACAAATGTATACTTTAAAGCAAACGTTAAAAATAATTGTAATCATTGTTTTTAAATTTTTTTTTATTATGAAACCTTTCATCCGATTGCCCGTATTGCAGGTGTGTAAATGGTCGGGCATGTGGGACCCTGCGTGAAAGGATGCTGTGCACATCGTTGCTTTTATTTTCGGCGTGTTTCATCTGCTCTGTCTCTCTCTCTGTCTCTCTATGTCTCTGTCTCTCGCCCGCGTGGACATTAATCAGCAAATGCCCCGTTGCTTTGTTTGTGCACAAATGTCTTTCTGCTCCATTTTGTTGAGCGGCGACGCTCAGCGAAGAGTGAAGTTGTATTTTTGGAGGAGGCGGCACGCTGGGAGTTCAGTTGGGAGACCATTAGTTTCTGCTTCTCGCACACACAGTGTGTTTTGACACCGGTTTGATAAAATGAGCCCCTATGTGTGTGTGTGTGTGTGTTTGATTCATCCTTTGGGTTTGGATGCGTTTGAAGCTCCCTCGGAGACGTGTGATTATACACCACGTTACTCTTTGTAGGTGCGTTCTCTGCACTCGTTAAAAAAAGGTATTAAATGCGCTTTGTCCCGCTTCAAACAACAAAAAGATCCTCACGGTTGTGTGTTTTATTAAATGCAAGAAAAGGCTCTTAATTCACAGCTGTGCAATAGAAGCTCAGAATGTTAATTTGCTTGCGGTGGAGCTCGTTTCTCCAAACAAGGTCACATCGTGGCAGTAAATACCACAGGGGTGTTATCACGGCCTTGGGGGGGGGGGAGCAAGGAGCTGTTTCGGGTTGGCTGCTGCGTTTCCCTTTTCTTCACCAACGCAGCTACGGGAATGCTGAACTTTAAAACCCGACGGGTTTTGGTCGGCCTCGCCGGGGAGAACTGCGGACAGTTTAATGAGGCTCCTGTCACCCTGAGGTGTGTCGAAAGGCGACTAATGCAAAGAGTCCCGGAGAGGAAGTGATGTCTGCTTCCACCGAGTGACCCGGGGGCTCTCTCTGCACTCTTGGGGGGGGGGGGGGGCTTTGCATTGGAGCCCAGATTGAGCAACGCCATTGAGCGCTTCTTGAGTCGTATTGAGCATTTTAACATCGATCCTTTCTTCCGTGGTTATTTGAGTTGCCTCAGCTGATCCTCCTGACAAATGATGATGCATCACAATCTCAAAGTAAGGTATCAAAATAGTAAGAAATGACATATCGACACCAGTATCAGTTCATTTGGGTTTTTTTTTTAAACGCACGTGTGGTGATAAGAAGGGATTCACGGTTTCATCCTTTATGTTAAGCACCACGTGGTTTGCTTCCAGTAAATCAAGTCACGGTGCAGCATTCAAAATCCGATTTGGATCCGCCGCTTCCTCTTTGCACGCAGAGTTCAAAGTCCTCTTTTCATGCACGTCGCTAGAGGGAAGCGTGTTCACCTCCACGCCGCCGCCGCCGTCGTCCCAGTGACCCGGCTGGCGTCTTCGTGGTTAATCTTTAACCAGCTTCTTGTGTGCTCGACCCGGGCCGCTTGTTTGCCATCGACTCACTGTCCTCGTCTCCACTGACCTCTGAAGTGGAGTCCGTAAACAGAGCAGGGGGGATTGATCCGGTGGAATGTGCATCGTGCACGCGTGTTGAAACGGGCCTCTTAAACGCAGAGACGACCCCCCCGACCCGCCCCCCCCCCCCGGCGAGAGGAACGGGCTCTCACTTCAAGTAACACCCAAAATGAGTCTCCCCTTTTCGGGATTCTTCTTTCTCCTGAACCGGGAGCGCTACCTGGGCCGTGACCGTGGGCTTCGCGGATTATATCTCCCAGTGGTTGAAGGGGGGCAGTGTGGGGGAGGAGGGGGAGGGGGGGGACCTATTGGTCGGACATTCCTGTGTGCTGTGGGGGTCGGCGAGTCGGCGCGATGAGGCGTTGAAGCGGAATCGCTCGGCGACCAAAAGTCTCCGTTTCCCCACTCGGCTCTATTTTAATACCCTTTTTTTTATAATTCTGTCCCAGATCTTCTATCACGGAGAAGCTCATTTCACAGCTGGATGCTCCTTCTCTAATACGCACGTTTACATGTCGAGACATGTGAATATTCTGTGGGAAATAACTAAATGGTCTATTCCTGAAATTCAATACTACAGAATATTTTCTAATTGAACATCGTAACATTCATGCACGCAGTGAAGTTATTGTTAATCAACACACTGATTACGTTAAGATGCAAAGTAAAGAACCTGAGGAAATAGTTTTTTGATCCCATTTTCTGCAAAATTTGAAATACTGCTTAATAATTCTATTAAGATATTGATCAATTGTAAGAGGATGAATTACTTCAATTATTT